CCATCCAATCTCTTCGGGAAAAAGAAATTACCTCAGTACGCTACGAGTTTCGAGCAGAGGAGCTGCTCGATAACCTCGAGGGAAAAGAACGCACGATCGTAAGGCAAACTTAGTTTCCGCGAGACTTGTCGCTTTTTCACGGCGGGATATTATAAAGATATCCGATACTATAACTTATACGTCTCGCGGGCTTGCATGAATAAAGGACCGATGGCCCGAGAGGTGTAATCACGAGCCATAATCCGATATCATTGCCAACCAATCGCAGACTGCAATATCTCTTCCTCCGTTCCTTTCTGCCACGCCGCTGCGTCGGTCTTTATAAATGCGTGCCTCGCAACGGCTTGTGTCGGCTCGTTATTTCGCTCGTTTGACCCACTGACGTTGCTCATTAAACTCCTCGTCAACCCCATCGATACTGCGCTCGGCAAAGAGAGGAAAAAAAAAAAAAAGATTGGAACCGTGTACGAATGCTTTATCGACATCAAACATCTCAACTTCTGCGTCCCATTCTGCTAAGAATTACTGCAAGCTGCAGTCATCTTTGTCATCGAGACATAGTGATTATCGATTGTTCGGGGGAGGGGGGGGAGGACCGAACGAAGGATTTAAGAAGAGGAGAGGTCCAGAGGCTCCAGCTGACCGAAAATTACGTGAGCATCACGTAGTAGTCTGATAATCGAGTAAGGGATTTACGAGGCAGAGTCAATTTAATCCCGGGGATGCGATGGGCTTTTACAATCACTTCCAAAAAAAAAAACAGAGTCGCCAACCAATACTCTTCTGGCGACGAACAAGGACGGCTGGCCGTATGCCAAGACCACTGTCCATCCCGGGGAAAAAAAAAAAAAGAGAGAGAGAGAAACGTTCGGGTCTCGCTATGGTCTTCATCGTCCTCGCTTTACGAACCGTGCATTGTCGACTTCCGGAAACAAGTCGGTCCACGAGGCACTCGAGGGCTCTGCGCAAATTGCGTTTTCGAGCGTTTCAAGTATCAGCAAAGCCTGCCCGCCGAAAAATAAATCTCGCAATTCGCCAAAATGGATTTTATTACTCCCGGTTATTGTAACCGAAATGATGCGATTTGGCAGATGAAACCAACTTTCCAGCAACAAGCTGAGCGATCCTTCATCGCTCATTGTTCGCCGCGAATCTATCAACCTTAGGCCTTGCACATCGACAAACGAGTTTCACGTTCCTCAAGGACGTATTACGTGAAAACTTCGATCGCGCATTACTCTTAGTCGCATTAACTAGAAAGCCAGCTCGCGGTAAGATTCGTAACAAATGCAGTTGCGATTTTCTCTTGTCAGAACTAGCATTACGAACGGCCCAGAAAAAATTAGTTTCTTTGAGAGGCACAAGTGAAAAAAATCGCTCCATTCGAAGCAAAGATGAATTCTAAAGGCACACATTCCTCTTTTTTTTTTAAATTATTGCATATATAAATCGCAAACTGTATCTATTACTAATTTCGTAATATGCTAATATGCTAGATAGTCATCGGTAATAATTACATAATCAATATAATTCATTCAACGTTGACGACAATTTTAATTTATTTCTCATATAAATTTTAGATTCTAATTTAAAAAGTTGAAAAAAAATTTAACGTGAATTATTCAACCAGAGAAATGAGTGTATATTATTGTGACAGTTAGAGGATATGAATCTTGAAATTCCGAATATAAGGAGCGACTTCAAAATGGCGGGAAAACTCACGCGGTCGATTCTAACCGGAGAATAAATAATCGCTGAATTTACGCGTGACGATCCCTCGAATTCGAGACACAAACACGAAACACCGATCGTAATCGACGCGAGTCTTATATGAAAAAAATAGATACTTTACTATAGGAACACAACAAACCGACCATTAGTCAAGGACGCACCGATCTCCGGTGAATTTTTAAACGCTGCAATAAGAGATTTCATCGTTGCGAAAGCCAGCTCAAGGACCACCATGGAATATATCACAAGGAGCTCTTTACGCAACGACCGATCTTGTGCCCTCTATTTTTCCCTTCCATCCCTTTCTCGAAACCGACGTTCCCAGAGTCCACGCGACGCTGCTCGAGCTGCCAACCAAAAACTCGAAAAAATATACAATGTGCAAAAAGCGTAACGAGTCGTGATCGAGTGACGCCAACGGAATCTCGGGGTCGTAATCAAATGTCCCGTCGATTCTCGAAGCGGCTGCTATACTCACAAGACAACACATCGCACATTATTACTAGAAAACTAGAGGAAATTATGATTTTCAATCCGTTCGTATCGTTGTTTTTATTTAAAAAAAAAATATATTTAGATTCGTAAAATATATCTGTGGATATTATGTAAAAAATGTGCGAATTGATAAAAATAAAAATAAGAATAGATCGAAGATGAAAAAGACAAGGTCACACAAATCCTGAATAAACTCGACAAAAACAGTTTGGAAGAATAACGATTTAAATTGATTTAAATGAAATGAATTGAGATTGGAACTTCGAAGAAATTACGCGACATAACTTTGGAATGTCGTCGACGCCCTGTGCGTGGGTTTCATGAATAAAAGCACTTATAAGATCAAAGAATATATCAAATCTATCGACGGAATTCAATAAATACACGTGTAGGTGCACACTTTAGGTATATAATGATAAAAGTACGTCTGTAACGTTTTGCCAAACTCAAATCAATTACCATTTCTATTTTCAAATCTTCGATATTCCACCTTGGATGGCAATTTGATTTCAGGTATATATATACTTCACATATAGATATTTCAAAAAGTAACGATGAATATATATATATATATATTTCTTAAAAATGTCAAATTTATTGAGATGAACAATATTGACATAGTGAATTGATCATTTCCTAAAATACACGAGAAAACGTTTCGAAACATCGTGGTCCACCTGTGCCAGCAATTCTTACGGTGGTGCCTCGATACTTCGAATTTGAAATACGGAAAATCCAGTAACAGGTGTAGGTCTCGCAAAGTCGAAGTAAAGTTTTATTTACGATTTCTCACCCAGATTTTGACGACTTTAAAATCCACAAAAAATAAGTCATAAAATAAAAGAAGGAAATATTAAAATGGTGATTCTAACAAAGTATCCCTTAATACAATATATAATGAAAAGAATATGTCATTAAAATTCGCATATTGACTCTATACATTCGCAACATATACGACATGTAAAATATAATTAACTTATTAAATTTATTAATTTTGATTATTCTTACTTACGAATTGAAAATCAACTTATAATTTCCAGCTTCAGAAAAAAAGTCCAGTTTTCAGAAAAAAATAATCGTCTCTTATTTCCTCAAGGTTAAACTGATAATTAAAACCTCTTTAACGTAGTTAAAGTTTCTCCGTAACTTATCTTTGTACTTAAAAAAAAAAAATCATATAGAATTCTCGCTTATACAAAAATCTGTATGTATGGATAAATGTTCTTTTTACAACATATCATAAAAAGATCAAATAAAGAGAAAAATGTCATCAAAATTCGGGGATGCCTCGTTTACGAACGCTCCACGGAGAAAAATAAACTGTAAAAGACGACGCAGAACGTCGTGACTCGTCATCGACCACTCGCGGGGTGTTCGCGTCAACCGACGACGCCCACGGACGGCGTCGTTCGCCGATGCGTGGCGAGAGACGCGTTATCTACGCATTCCAGTCTGCACGTAGAGAACTCCATACCGTACTTTCCTCGTACGTCACGTCGCCCACTAACGCGTGAGCGGTAAACAAAAGCGCGCTAATTGCGAACGCAAGCACAAGGCAATAAGAGATAAAACTACCCTCTCGAAGAAGGCATCTCGCAATGTCTCTTTAACAGAAAGAACAAAATTGGGCGACGCGTATCACGTGACCTTTTGATAGTCATCCATCGTCGAACACGACAATGATAATAACGTCAGGGCCCCACAATGACAGGCGTAAAGAATAAAAAATTAAATTCTCCGACATAATGGAAAATCATGCTCCGATACATAATCTCGCACAAAATAGCGCAATATTCTTTCATTGGTCAAATAATTCTTTTATATTTAATTCTTTATTTTCGTTCATTGTACGAGAGCCCCTTAGAGTACCATACCGTCCCATGGACACGGAAAATCCATGGAATCGAAACGAAATGGGAAAGGTTCAGTTTGATACTTTTTTATCATTTAATTCAATTAATGTATTAATTAAATAAAATAATGAAAAATTATCAAATTATAAAAAAAAATATAAGATTAGAACGGATTCCGTTTCTTGAAAAATATGCTCCATGGATAGGGTTGTCATCCGTCCTCTTTTCCCCGGACACTTTTTTTTTAGGGCATCCGGGGACATCCGGGGGGATTTTTTGAAAGCGTCCGGAATAATTATAAGCGTTTTCAAGGGTTTTCAAGAAATCTTCTAAATATTTTGTTTTGATTTCTCTCGCATTACTCTGCATTACCAAATAGCACAGATATTACATAAGAATTAAAACTTTTTAATTTTAATATCTAATAAAACTTAAACCTATAATAAAATTAAACCTATAATAAAACTTTTTATTTTAAATCAAAAGTTTGTATTTATTTAGTATCCAGTTTAAATTTCTCTTTGCTCTGAATGAACAATTAGATGTGAAATAATGATTCATTTACTGTTCTAATCAATTTTATTAATTTAAGCGCATTTTTGTCCGAGGTTGCATGCCGAAATGTCCGGGGTTTTTGGTTGTAAATCCTAGTTTTGAAAATTTTAATATGGCAATCCATATGAGAAGAACCAGGATGCTTAAAATCAGAACGGAAAGTTATGAAATTTTCGGAACGATTGACTATCCCCACCATTCTACCCTTCCGATTCCGTTCCGATTTCGTTTTCCGTGTCCATGGGCATCCTTATTCTCTCTCTTTTTCTTGAGAAGCGACCTGATAACGCGCGATATCGCGGATGGGTGTGCTCGAGTATCAGATATTATCGCGCGAGCGAGAACGAGAGGTGGTTGGGTACTCACGATGATGCGTGGGATAATTGTTGTTATTGTTGGACAGCAGCCGCTGGTAATCCATCTTGCGTCAAATGGCCGATGGTATTTCCCTTTCGTGCGATTGTCGTCTCGCGCACACTAAAATTCGCACACTGTTCTCACACACGGTTACACCCCCGCGTTCACGGTGCACACCAACGACGACGAAGCTCGCGAAAACGAGAACGTTCTTCACCGTGCCAAGTGCGACGCGATATTACGAGTTTTGTCATCCGCGTCGTTTTACGCGGAAAGACGCCAGTTCGCTCGCGCGCATCCTCGCACCGTTCGCCGCGAACCAAAGCAGAACCGAGCTCGGCTCGCGAGGGACTCACTTCCGGTCGCGCCGAGTCTCGCGCGAATCACGGATGATTCTCGAACTCGAGTCGCGTGAACGTGAGGAGATGAAATAAATCACGACACTCGAGCTGCGGCTCGAAAATTCTTCGTATATGGAATAGATAACACCGATGATTCACTAATGCACAAGCTGTAGATTAGATAATGCTGTTAACTATTAATAATGTACGTCGACATAGAAATTCGCGTCGGAGGAGGAGGAATCGACGCGATGGGAAACGATCGATGAATCGGGGGTGAATCTTTCTCTGGAGATAAAAAAAAAATTCAAGGCGAAGGTAAATCGCGGATCTACTGCGTCGTAAATAAACGCGGGACTTAACTCTTTTATCGATTAAACTGCGATCCGATAAACCGCGTGTGATGCACGCGGCTTACGAGTGGCAATGGAAGAAGGCAACGAGATTAACGGAACGTTTCGTCGAAAATGTTGGCTGTATTAATTAAATTCTCAAAACTCATAGTCACTCAGAGTTACTCCGCGCGATTGTTAGAATTTCCCCGAATCGGCGGCAAATTGTTGAATAAAATCTTTACAAAGCGAACACGATTAATTATCAGCAATATTCGCGCAATATCGAGGATACTCGACAATGGCTTAGTCGCTTTTTTCATCAGCGAATCTCATAAATTCCGATCCAAGAACGCGAGCTAGTTCCGATTGGTTGACTACAAGCGTTTTTGGTCGGCTCCGGACAAACGTGATTCAAGAGAATCCCGTTCCGCGAACGTTCCCCTTGGCCGTTCGATCGGCGTTTCGCGAAACTTCGCGGATATAGCTAGTTACAATAATTAACAGATTCCCTTCAGTGTTGTTTATTTCGTGCGACGCAATATTTCTTCGAACATGACACGTCGAAAGCAATATCGATTGGAACAATGTACGAATGACGTAACACCGAATTTGGAAACGCAAGTAAAAAAGATGGAACACACAACCGAAGATCTGTAACGCCTTCGACTCTCGATTGCGAGGATGAATCTTCATGGGCCTGCATCTTTTTCTTCTTTTGAACTTCTAAACGCTGGCGTTTAACGTTTACAGACAACAACAATCAACATTTCGATTGTGCGTCCCATTCTTCTACCTGCGTCTCCAAATTCTAGGTGCCACGTCATTCGTTCATCGAAATTCCAAGAATTTCCAAATATTAATGTTACTTCAGAAATTCGCTGCGTCGCACGAAATATACAAAGAGGAGAACGAAGAGAACGAAGGGAAGAAAGGGAGGGGGAAGGGAAGGGGGATGCGGGCAAGAATGTACGCGCGCGAGTTAAAACCAGCACGAAGCCATCGACTCCCACGCTGTGAACGCGACACGCTCATAAAAGAGGTAATCGGGGCACATTCTTGCACGTGTGAGCGCGTGTCTAGAGCCCACATACGCGATTGACGAAGCATTCCCGGAAATCGACAATTCATACGACTCATGAAAAGTGAGGATAACTGCGTCGCGCGCACGTCGGCCGTGTCGCAATTATCCGTGTTGTTCTACCCGTATTCTTGTCTCTAATTCTGAATAGAGCGCGGTATATATTATCTTCTTCGAATAGAAATTAGGCCTGTTCCTTTTAGCTAAACTTTTTGTATGGTTCATCTTTTCCCTTTCTCTCCAAGGTGGGGGAGGGAGGGGAAAAAGGGAGGAACGAACCAAGAGATTCGCTTAAAAAGAACAGGCCACTTATTTTTCACGTTGCCCTATCTACTCGCAACGAAGACAAAAGAGATAATAGGAGAAAAGGTCGCGTTAAAATAAACCCCGAGTCCCGACCTCTAATGTCAACGGTTCAACGGTCGGCGACATTTCATTTCCATTCAATTCTGGAGTGCCGCGTGTCGAGTTTAATCGATAGCCAATTACCGGGACAAAACCGGGAAGGGGGAAGGGGGAGGGGGCGGAGAACGTACAATTTTGTGATAACAAAAGTCGAGGAAATCCACAACGCGCGACTTTATAACTCGGTTGGAGGGTCCGCCGCGTAAGATTGCGCAATGTTGACTCGCGTGACGTCGTCGATACGCACGGTTCGGGGATCGTTCGCTATACTAGACGCTACTACGCAGCGGATAAAAGAGAGGAGAGTCACGCTCCCCGTGGTCATTGCACCAACGTTGTTTACGACGCAGCCGGAACTCGTCGGAACTCGCCTGCGCACTCGGAAACGCGCCAGCTATGAGAAATCGCGGCTCGAGAAATCGACTCGTTGAACGGTGGCGCGATCGTGGAGAGAATAATCGCGACATTCCTCGTTTCCTTCTCCGTATTCTCCGTTTTCCCGTTTAAATCAAATTCAAACGGCATATAATGACAAACGTACGCGGGAAACTTCACGTTTGTCGCGCGCGCGCGCAGAAACGCCGGCCATATGAATGTGACGATGCACGCTATCGAACGTCTCGAATCTTCCCGAGACGTTTGATCGCGTTTTTCGCGATGAGCGATCTCTAACCTCTTTTTCGATGTCGCGTACCGTAAGAAGCTTCGCGGAGATGGGTCGCGTCTGATCTTCGACCTGAGAAAACGCGACGTTACACGTGGTTTCCGAGCACGTCGCACATTTTTCTTTCACATATACACACACAGACACACAGCACACATACACACATACACATATATATATACATATGACACACGCGCACGTTTCACACGGTGATTTCAACGTAGCGTGAATTTTCGATGTAAATTACCGTCACGGAGAGACGCGGAAGAAATCGGAATATTTATCACTCGCGTCGCTCGCCCGACACGTGCCTCGACAATTACATGCGCGCACGTGCAATTCGTATCTCCATGCGAATTACGCTCGCAAAGGTAAGAACAAACGTGACGCGACGACGCGCCGGGTCAACTAACCCTCACGATATTTCGTACCGCGGCGTAACGCGGCGCGGCGCTGCGACGACGACCGCCGAAAATTGCCGAGAACCCACGGCGGGCCGGTCCGCCCGTTGCTTCTACGCTTCAAGCGGCAACTTCAGGTCTCTTCCCGCCGGCGAACTTCACGTTTTTCGTTTACGCGCAGTCCCAGTCAAAATTAGGGATTGCGCTGGGATCGCGTGCGATCGCGGTGAATTGTTCGCGCGATAAATAATCCAACATCTTTGGCACATTCACGGTCGTCTTCTCTCACGCTCGCCTCCAAGTCTGAAGTTTCTCGGTGAACTAAACACGACGGCGGCAGCGACGGCGGGGCGCGCGCGCGCGCGCACTCGCTCACTCGCGAACGTAAACACAAGAAGGCGAAGCGTGACGAAAACGCCCGGTCGTTCGCAACGGCCGGAATGGAACGCGCGCTTTCGTCGCGGACGCGACGATTCTCTTCTCGGACAAACTCGCGCCACGCCAAACAATCGACTTGCAGCCCCGTCGCTCGTCGCTTCTAACCAAACGGGATACAAAAACGTGTAACATACCGCTCGCGTGACGTCCCGCGTAGTACTACGGAGAGGGACGATTCCCACCGCGTACGGCCTCCCTCACTCACACAAATCCACGCGTCTCGCCGACACACGACGCGCTCCGTCCTTCTCCCTCCCACTGTCGCTCCCTCGCGGCTCTCTCCCTCGATCGTTCGCGCGCCACGAGCGAACACGCATATATACACACACGTAATGGAGGCTCCCGCTACCATCTCCCCTTCCCGGAATCACCTCATTGGCATCCGTCGCGCGATTTGCGAGAGCTCGCCTTTGGACTCCTGCCCTCGTCCCTTCGTCTCAGGGGTGGATTTGCGACGTAATTATGTAGAGGAAATGCTCTTTTTCTCTGGCGGGTAAGAGACTTTCGTGAGATCTTTCGGCTGTGTGTCACGAATCACGAACCCGCTTTCGAGAGTCGCATGACGCAATTCTCGTACAATTTGAAGATTCAATATCTAACGGAATAGTCTATCTAGTAACCGCTTGTTCGTACGATTTCCAATTAATTTAAAGTCTAAAGCTCACCGAGGTGAGTTAGAAGGTATACAAATCTATTCAATAATTCATAATCTATAGGAAATTCTGTTTTTACGAAAACATTGCAGTTATTTTTCTATTTTTATATTGAATTTCTAAGTATGACGACTATCGATACATGCCTAATCTGCATCTGGTTGTCAGATAAAAAAAATAACATCTTACTAATCATTTCAAAAATTCTTCAGAGATATTTGACTTCTAACCTTTCCAAGTATCTCACATGTATTTGCCTGTAGCTACAGTAGCCTGTAGGAAATTCATTTTATTTCTAATTTACATATAGAGCCAATCTTTTTTCAAAGGAAAGAGATTTCGTCGAGAAATAACTTTCGAATAAACAAGAGATTTCTTTCGGGAACAGAGAATTTGTCGCGACGAAAATTTTAATCGACGACTTTATCGTGAAGAAATTTCAATCGTTCCCCCTTTCCCCCCCTCCCCTCCCCTCAAAATCGTCGCATTAGATAGATATCATGATATCATATTTCATGAAGTGTTTCATGAAGTGGAAGATTATCTCGGTGGCCGCTATTATTGCGAAGTACTGCGCACATAAAGCAGCATGCACTTGGTGTCACCTCGTATCGCCTTTGCGTCGCGGTATCCTCCTCATCGGAGGTGTTCGTTCTCGAGGGAGGGGCTGGGCAACGAAGCGTCTAAATCCGGCCTTGTCTATCGTCCTCGCCTCGTCTGGCTATCCCCGTCCCTCTTCCTCCAACTTGCCATCCCTTCGCGAGGCAGGCTTTTTCTCGGAGCTGCGCCGCCTACGCCTTCGTTTCGTTCCGATCTGCGACTTCCTCTCTTTACTCCCCCCTCCTCATCGTCCACTTTCCTCGATCTGCCGCCACCCTTCTCGGTCGATCCTCTCGCCCTCTCTCTTTCTCTCTCTCTCTCTCTCTCTTTCTTTCTCCTCACCGACGCGTTCTCGCGTCGTGTCCACGGAGTCCTTCGGACTCGCTTACTTCGCTCGCGAAACTTCTTTGTTGCGAAATTCCTGAGGTCCGAAATTCCCGAGGACCGTCGACGACGAAATCGCGAAATATTGATATATGTCAACGTCACGCTGCTCGCGAACGTGTTTGATAAGCGACGAACGAGCGTTCTCCCCTCGATCTGCCTTTTTCTTTTTTTTTTTTTTTTTTTTTTTTTTTTTTTTTTTT